GTGCGCGGGTGGGGGCAGCCGCCGGGGAGGCAGCGTGGGGAGAAAGAAGTTTCCCCCCCACCACCACCTTCCCCCTCCCTCCTCTTAACATCGTCAGCGATGAGCGAAAAGGCACGTTTTTAAAAGATTTGGGGAGAGACAGTGTCTCCCCCCCCCCGCCACCACCCCCTTCAGTGGGGGGCATCATCCACGGGAGAAGGGTGGCCAGGTCATCCCGCGGGTACCCCCGGGTAACAGCAATCCACCCGTGGCTGCGTGCTCCCAACCCCACGGCCACGCAGGGGGTGACAGAACTGGCCCCCGCCTCCCCTCTGCAGAGCGGGGACCCGAAGGCCACCTGGCCAAGGTGCCAAAGCTGGAAGGTGGTAAGGGATTGACCAAATAACTAACTGCCAGACAAGGCAGAACTTTTTTTCCCACAATGCATCCGGGAGGGGGAAAAAAAGTAACCCAACGAGCCAAACTTGAAAGCAACAAGTTTGTACAAGCCGCGAGATAAGGGGAAAAATATTAAACTTCTTTATTGATAAAATGCGTAGTGTTTGAATATACCCTGTCTAAAAGGAAAGTTGCATCACCAACCGTGAATTATCGCAGGGGCAGATACATAGCCAAAATGTTTAGGGTACTAACTTAAAAAAAAAAAAAAGCCATACTGAACTGCACAGGCACACTTGAAGCAGCAATAAAAGTAGGCAAGTAGCAAGGGTAATACCTATTCTAGAATACACAAAATAGCACAGCCTCTGAACAAAGAAAAGGCAAATCAATAAACCTATGAAAAGCAGAATTATCACTCCTCATATATTACTATAAAACGTGAGGAATGCATCCAAACTAGGTAAAGAAACGGGCAGACATTTACCGAAATCAGCACAAACAGCATACAGGGCATGCAGGAAAAAGAAAATGGTAATAGTGCGAAATACATGAAATATTTATCATATTCAGCAATGCACAAAATAGATTATGATCTCAGAAGCAAAGCAGTGCGATGCTGGAAAATGAGCGCGCTGTTCCATAAGGCTGTTATTCAGCGCGGCGCGAGTGGAGGTGGGACGCATAGGAAACATGGAAAGTTGTACATATGTTGCATGTCCTGAAAAAGGTTACTAAGATTGTTACCGAGAGTGCTGAAAAGGAAAAAAAACAACCCCAAACAGCACGTTTCGCAAAGAAAAACAAGGGAAAAAGTAAGATGACATCTTCCGTACCGTATGATCAAGGGATAACTGTTTAGTGGGTTGTTTATTTAGAAACCAGTTTTTTTCCAACGAGATAGATTAAGTATTATTTACTCCCGCAAAAAAAAAAATAAATAGAAGATTAAAAAAAGAATTCTTATTTCCCAATACGTTTGAATGCTTGGAGGAAAAACAGTGTTAACTAGTTGGATTCAAACTTTGCAGGCACAATGGAAATTAGCAACATTGTATCAGTTTTCGTCCTTTTCAGGAAAGCCTGGTAGAGTAAACTTTAGCAGGGAGCAAGACTGACGCTAAAGAAGAAAAACATGCCAGATGAGAGAGTTTCAGCTGGCAGGACGCTGCCTGCAGTATGATGGAGGAAAAGGGACCGTGAGGATAATTTGAGAGATTCAGAGTTGATTAGAATAGAACAGATATTTAAAAATGTGATTTGGAACAAGATTTGGGACTAAAACACCACCTTAAAAAAAATGATTACCAGATATGACAAAACAACAACAAAAAAGGCTAAAATCTGTTCTAAAATAACTTTTGCTTTGGTGTTTACAAACCATTCCCTTCACGGTCAAAAAGCCCTTAAAATGTTCAGATTAAACCAAAGTGATTAATCTAAAAAGCAGAGGCAGTGAATTAAAGGAGCAGGGAGATAACAATCTGATAATACAGGAGCACAGAAGGCCTAATAATGATATTATTATGCACACTAACCAAACACTGACAAACAAATATTCTGTTAATTATATAATCATGCATATGCTTCCTATGCTTGAGATAGATGATTATGGAAAATAACTCTCTTCTTGAAACTGCATATATGTACTAAACCTTATAAACTCCCTACAACATGGATTAATCTAATTCCCGGGCATCACTTATGCCTGGTAAAGTATTTACTACAGACTCGGAAGGCTGAGCGTGGAACCCGTTGCTTTGACTAGAAAGCACGGATTACTGAAGGCTGCTGCATCTTGACATATAGACAACCATCAGATTTCTCTTATCAATACCAAACTACTTGGAATAAATTCAAGATTCAAGATATCTGATTTTCATTTGACCTATTCCAATTTGCACTTCACTGTGTCAACTTTGATATTAAAATGTTCCACTAGAATAAAGATATTTATAATAAAAACATATATAAAGAAGAGAAGATGAATAGATATTGTCATGGATACATATGCAGGCAATCATTTAAACATGCGGCAATAGTAACATCACATTTTTCATAGCTTCTAGTCAACATACAGCAGACAAATATATGCTTAATAAAGCTTATTAATCCTTAATAAAGTTGTTGCTCTGTGTTTATGATATATAAATACATTTTGCACGAGGATGTGTTGAAATAAGACAGATACTTTAAAAGTTGGACTGTGTTTTTTCAACCCCACAGTGAATTAACTCTCAAGCAGCAGTCTCAGTAGCTGCAAAACAAAACGAATTCTCCAGCGTGGCACGCTGCCTCGGTGCCTCCTAAGGTCTCTATTCCAATCTTTTCTTGTTCAAAATAAATTAGGAAATATGGGCCCATGTCTTGAGGCTTGGCTCTTGTGCAACGCAAACAGAAATGACCTGGCAGCAGAGCAAAGCCAGCATGGCTGTCTATGCGCGTTTATCAGATTTCTTTGGGGAGATGAGGCTGATTGGGTTTTATACATATGTACTTCTCACAACTCTGCGGCCATTTGGGTAACTGGTAAGCACCAGCCCGTGCTGGAGGTGCTGCAGAGCCGTGCAGCGGCCGCGGAGCTGCTGGGAAACTCGCTTCCGTGGGGATTTGAACGCCTTTTCCCCACCGCAAGGGGTGATGCACGCCCATCTACTGCTGGCCAGCAGGGCAATGAAAGCACAGAGCCCTGGGTTTCTGAAGGTAGACATCTATGGCCAAAAGGTGGATGGCTCCATGGCTTAAGGGGAAGGATGCGCCCTGCTGTCCTGCCCCATGTCTATCTGTGCCAGCCTCGGCGCTGCCACCGCTGCGGTGCGGAAACACTTCCGCGGCCCTTCAAGCTTGGCACCTCTGACCAAAGCTGTTTTTCAGTCTCCTCAGACCGACTTCCCCTCCGTTTTGCACCGAATTATGATCCTTGCCCGCCACCCCTCAAAACCCTTGAGCCAACCTGACCGCAGCAATCCCCATCTACATACGACCCCAGCAGCCGCTGCGCCCCGATGTGAATCACGGCGTGCTGTGACATCCCCCACGCTGAGCTCCAAACTTACATACCAACCT